AAATTGGGTGAAGTACTATAACTTGTTTCCAGTCCTATTAAAACCATAGGCTGAAGCGTTCAGGTTTCTGGATAACCTTGATCACTCTTGTTTTGGTGTAAATTTAAGGCCAACATTTGAAAAAGACATCAGGTTATTTAAGAATCATTATTCAACCTTAGTGGAAGATTATGAAGTGACAGTTATTGTGAAGTTACACATCATATTTAAAAATGCAGGTCTTTTTTGTAAAAATAAGGATATTGGATTGGGTTTCTTTAGTGAACAAGCAGGGGAAGCTCTTCACTACTCATTTCTAGAGGAAGCATGGGAACGTTTCAAAGTGTCTGATAACCATCAAAAGTATGCAAAGTATTTGAAAAATACAGTAGTTAGTTTCAATGGAAAATATTTAAATAATGTTTAATAAATATTTTCTTAAAAAAATATTGTTTTTTTCCCTTTTAATTTTAAGAAGAAAAAAGTACTTGACATTGGCGCCCCTCAGACTGTTTTTAAGGCCCATCTGAGAGGGACATATTACGACTAGTCATATTTTTTGACAAAATGTACAACAATTGCATGCACCCCTGTCGTGGGTCTTGATATCAGTTAGAGGGGCGCCTAAGTCCGGGCGCCTAAGTCCTAAATTCCGACCTATTTGGCCCCTGTATAAACCCAAATATTTTTTAAAGATTAGTTTTATGATTTTTTTCACTAACTTTCCCTAAATGGTATGGTTCTAATAATTTCAAAAAGGTGTAACACAATTCTATGTCATTTCATCAAACTAAAATCTGGTTCAGTGTGGATGTGATATATATATATATATATATATATATATATATATATATATATATATATATATATATATATATATATATATATATATATATATATATATATATATATATATATATATATATATATATATATATATATATATATATATATATATATATATATATATATCAGGGTAGCTCTCTAAATGATATTTTGAAAATGTCTGCTTTGATCTACTAAATGTGTCCTATATAATTAAAAATACTGAATTTAAAATTTTTTTGAATAAAAAGTATTTTAAGGGGTTGCACAAGACCCTTAAACATCAAGCAGGTCCCTAATATTATGAAAAAAAGATCTTTTTAAAAGTATATCATGTTGGTTTTTAAATGAACCAAAATTATATAAAAGTTTTAAAACCAATGATCATTTTATAACTAAAAATGGAAAAATATGCCTTTATACAAAACATTTTGATTATAATTTTTTTTCCATATTTTTTTATAAAATTATGAATTTTTTATATAATTACACTACTTTTAAGACCTAACATGATATACTTTGGAAAAAATCTTTTTTTATAATATAAGAGATCCATTTGATGTTTAAGTATCTTTTGCAACCACTAAAAATAATTTTTATTCAAAAAACTTTTAAATTCAGTATTATTTATTATATAGAACACATTTATTATATAGAACACATTTAGGGGATCAAAGCAGACATTTTCAAAAAATGTCATTTAAAAAACCACCATGATATACATACATATATATATATATATATATATATATATATATATATATATATATATATATATATATATATATATATATATATATATATATATATATATATATATATATATATATATTATATATATATATATATATATATATATATATATATACACATATATATACATATATATATATGTATATATATATATATATATATATATATATATATATATATATATATATATATATATATATATATATATATATATATATACATACAATACTAAACTACATAATGATTATGTATTATATCCAATTGTTTATGTTTATATTTTATGTTTAATGAGTTCACAAAGTGATAGTTATGGTATAACAATAAACATTCAAAGAAGCAAATAAATCAGAAAGAACATTTTCTTTCTAATTTATTTGCGGGACATACTTTGTTTTGTTGTCAAACAAAAAATCTTCACTTTCAACAAGGCTGCAAGCAACCACTATTAGAGTTGAAAGTTACTGAAAGAGAAAAGATAAAGTTTATAGAGCAATATAATGATTGACAGACAACTTAAAATATTGCAAATTATATGAATCAGAAAAACAAGATAAAGCAAATTCCTAAGAACTGATGTTTGAGGAAAAAAACTAGAGTAATAGACGAAGAAGAACTTTTAGAGCACTTAGGAACAGTCACAGTAAAATGATGAGACTTAATAGAATGACGAGTAACATAAGAATGAATTTTAGTAGATGGCACAAGAGACGCTAGCTTTTTAGAGCAGTTCCAGTTATAGAATTTATAGAAAAAAGAAGGAAAAGCAACATTACGATGATGTGATAACGGTTGGATTGGCTGCAAGAGCAGGTCCAACTATGTTAACAATGCACTTTTGCACCTTATCTATAAGAGAAAGAGCATCATTGGAAGATTCAAACTGTTGCATATTTGTTTTGTGGTGTTTTAAACCCCATGATGAATTTTTTTCAAAAAGATTTTCAACACAACTGAATTTGGAACCCTACAGTCGAATGTTAAATCTGGTAGAAACAATCTGGTTAAAATTTAATTTCAAATTAAAAGTTAAGTTAGAAATACAAATTGCATTTCACTTGTATTAATAAGTTAGAATTGTGGAATAACAAATGCAATAAAACATTTAAAACAATTGATTTTGATAAAAAAACATAAAATCAAATGCCACATTTCAACAACTTGAAAAAGTTTTACAACCGTTTTTTATGTTTTAGAAGATATAAATAAAAATTATTAGTGATAGGCTGACAAATCATATAAACACAAATAAGAAACTTCCTGAAATCTCTACAAAGCAATGGCCACTGAATAAAAATTTTTTACTGGGGATAAACTTTTTAAAAAACAGCAACAAACAAAAAAATAAAAAAATAAATTAGCTGAACAACTTAGCTGGTGAATTTATAAACATCTTTCCCTCTGGTAAAACATGATGCATCCTTGCATTTTTCTACCAAAAAATAATTAAGTTTGTTATATCCAATCTGATGATCATATATTATATGTTCATTGATGCTCCTAACATATTCAGCTCTGTTTTACTTGTTTTCACAATCATTTATTGTGGAAGGGTCCTTGTGTACTTTTTCATCTGCTTTTGAGGTAATAGGTGATTGTTGTTTATTGATGCTTACATTAAATTGTCTTAATATCTTTATTTTGAAGGCTACCAGTGTCAATTGACAGTCAATTTATGTTAACATTTTTTGGATTTGATCTTAGGTGGATTTTTTAGAAGTGGGATGTAAACAAATATGATGTAATAATAAACAAATATGATGTAATAATAAACAAATATGATGTAATAATAAACAAATATGATGTAATAAATGCATTGATTTAATTTATAAATTTTAATTTATAAATTAAATTAAATTATAATTTATAATTTATAAATTTATAAACTTTCAGGTTATAATAAAAAGACATATAATACAATGATCTTTGAACTCCATTATTATTTCAGGTGCATACACTAAATTTGAATATACCATTAAATAAACATCATCATCATTAATGTTTTATCTTGCAATTTGTGCCTTCTCCAATTATTTAAAGCTTGGGTAACATGCTTATGCAATTATAAAAATTAACCGGCTGTTCTAAGTTGACTTTTAAAGTTATTATAATTCCTATATTCAATAATTCAATAATACAAAAAAAAAGCTATCTATCTATTAAAGACTTATTAACTAATTGTTTTATCAATTATTAATAACTTTGTAAAGTAACTAAAAAATTTCAATGAAAAAAGATCTAGCCATGTATTTTATGAGTGACTTTTAACGCATTGATGCAATTTTAAGGACTGCATGAGTACATTGATTTGTGATAAAATTGTGAGCCTTAACAACACATAGTACTTGATTTTTTTAGGATTACTTATATTGTTGTTGACAGATGTATACAAACTCTTGGATGTGGGGTATGCATAAACTTGTGGGGAATGATTATCTTTAAAATATCTTTAAAATATCTTCATATAACTCCAACAAGTTTTTAATTTTATTGCTATTATAATAGATTTTTATCAGTTTAAATATGTATATTAATATATTTGTTACAAGCAAAATTAAAATAAATTGATGTTTTTGCTTCCTGAAGAAAATTGTTTTGTATCCTGAGTGTAAAAGCTCCATATTTATAAAAACTCCATAAAGAGCAACTGTAAAAAATTTTGTTGCATGTTCTTCAACAAAATGCAGCAAATTTATCAAGTCTAGAAAGACTTTTGTCAAACATCCTATATAAAATATAATTAGTGAAATATTGAAATAAATATTTTATTTTTGAAAATAAGGAAAAATAACTTTTTTATGTAATTCATAATTTCAAGTAAACATAGATTTTAAGTAACATTTAAAAATGCTGAGTTTAAAAACAAAATAATATTTCAAATAAATTTAAGATAATATATGTACTACCACTGAAGTTACATGGAAATCATAAAATAACATAAATATTTGCATAACAGTAAAAAATAGAACACAAAAGTATTTTAATTTGTTACTAGTGCAACAAAATAGCAGCTACAACTTTTCAAAATGATAGTGATGAGTTAAAAATCATCATCATCATCATCATCATCATCATCATCATCATCATCATCATCATCATCATTATCATCATCATCATCATCATCATCGTCATCATCATTATCTCGATCTTAACAGATTAGGGTCTTGGTTATAAAATTGAATGATTAATAAAACTTAAATAATAACAACATAAAACACTTAATAATAACAACATAAAACTTTATTCAAAAATGCATTGTAAACTGTACATTTAATAGTTTATTGTTGTATAATAAATCTTTTATGTGGTCAAATTGCAGTTTTATTATTTTTTATTGTATAAAAAATGTTTAATGCAACAAATTGCAGTTTATTAATTTGTTGTTGCATTAAAAAAAAGTTATGGTCAAATTACAAAAAAAAAAAAATTAAATTTTTAAAAATCACCTGAAAAACTTTGCTGCAGCATATCTACTAAGAACATAAGCAAAAAATGATATGCCAGTTAATGCTGCTAATAACTCTATTACAGTGAAAAACATAATTTCTCCAGATCCTATTGAAAATGAAAACCTTTTTACTAATAACAAAATTGAAAACTGCTAACCTGTAACTACACAAACATATATACCAGGGGCTAGACTCTTTATAACAGTGTTAACTGTATTTATGAGAGATTTGGGCGGCGCCCAAACTCAGATATTGGGATCCTTTTTTTATTTTTTTTTATACAGCAAATCTTTTTTTTTAAAAAAAAATGCTTATATATGAAATGTTTCCACCAAATTTCCTTACAGCAAGCGCATTGTGTGTGTGTGTGCGTGTATAAATAATTTAGGCGATACCTCCTGTGCTAGTGACTGCAAAAACGAAATTTGGCGGAAACATTGCCATATGTAGAAAAAAACAATATTTGCTATAAAAATTTCTGAATTTTGGTGCGCCTAAATGTCACCCAAATACGTTCAACGTTGTCAAAAAGGGTCTAGAATACCCCTAATATATATATATATATATATATATATATATATATATATATATATATATATATATATATATATATATATATATATATATATATATATATATATATATATATATATATATATATATGACATTAACTTTTTTTTAAAATGAGTTTATTTTTTGCATTTTAAGGTAATTTAATAAATATAAAAATGCTTTGATAAAAAGTTATAAAAATAATAAAAATGATAAACATGGTGAAACAAGGTGAAACATGCTGGATCAATTGTTAAGGTGTGGGACTGTTTTGGTCAGAATTCCACAGATGACAATGTAAAAATAGTGGAAATAATGACAAAAGTAGTTTATTGGAACATTTAAAAAAAATCATTCTTTACCTTCCGAAATTTGGGTTATTAGAAAACTATTCATTTTTTTATAGCAGAAAATGATCTAATGCTTAAATCCAAAACAAAATTCTTCAAAACATTGTTATTTAACAAAAATATTGAATAGAGTGATTCAATACTTTAATCAACTCCACAATCAATAGATTTCTCTCCTATCCATTCTCTATCTCTCCCACTTTAGATGAATGAATGATAGTTAGATATAATTAAAAGTAACATCAAAAACTAATGCTTAATAAAATGCAAAAAATGTGGACATAATTTGCAATTCATTTCATTTCATCCACAAACCAAAAATTCGAATGTACCATATATGACAAAATGGACAACATTTCAAACTACTTTATGATCATTACTTTTTCATTTAAATTTTTTTTTAATTACGGGGTTATTACATAGTTTTTAAGCATTCAACAGTTTATTGTTACATTATAACACTCTAAATTACAAATAAATACAAAATTATAAACTTAACTAACGATTCTACAAGTATGAAAAGCTATTGTATATATCGAAAAAATGTTGTGTAGTATGTTCTGCGAATTTCCAGTCTTTATGGTTCTTGATTCCAAAAATGTTTCACTAAGTTTAATGCTTTTTCGTGACCGTGCAAGCTGCTACATAGCTTCCAATAATTATCTGCATTGTACATTTAGTTAGTTATCTGCATTGTACATTTAGTTAGTTATCTGCATTGTACATTTAGTTAGTTATCTGCATTGTACATTTAGTTATCTGCATTGTACATTTAGTTAGTAAACCAATGGTTCGCCTTTCTGTAAGAGATGAATCAACAAATGTTAAGTAGTGAATTTCTTTATGATTGATTATGATTGAAGAGAATATATATATTCAATACTTGAACATACTTGAATTGAAAAATTCTTTGAAAGGCAATAGTAATAAATATAAGTGTTATTAAAGCTGCGTGGTTAATTGAACCAAACCGTTCTTTCAGAAATTGAATCAAAAATTGAATTAAATCGAAATTGAAGATAATTATTTAAAATAAAAAAAAACCGAACCATAAACGAAAAACCTTTTATAAGCTGATATTAAATTTTGAAATATAAAAAATTATCTAATATTAATTTATTAAATAATATATAATTGTTATTATAATATACAATTTAAGAAAAGTTTTTATGATTACATTCAATTTCTAAAACATTTGTAAATCGCTCAAATTGCAATAATATTAGAAAATAATATTGTTAAAACTGTATATGAATTTATGTGTATTTTGTAAATTGATATAATTTATTTAATTTGTGAATTTCATTATACACTTTATATTTCTTTATATCGGATTAAGTTCAAATGGCCAGAATTAGGTCTTTCAGTTAACATTTAAAAAATTGATGCCTAAACAGATATTAACTTTAATTTTGTTAAAAACTTCATATAATTATATTCATCGTTAAGTAACATCGTTAAGTAACCTGTTTAAAGCCAAATTTGTTTGTTTATATTAAGCAATGCTGATTTATTTTTTAAAATAATAAATGCAAAGTGGCCAGATATATGTAAGTTTACCCTAAGTGTAAGTATAAAGTATACTAAGTATACTATAATGTACTATGCTTTAAAGAAAGTAACACACTCTCATTGTTGTCTAATTTTTTATGTCTGGTTGACATGACTCTATCTTGCCAAAAATAATATTAAATAATTATCACACATTAAAAGTAATTTTATAATTATACACATTATAAACATATTACTTGTAAATCGTTTTTACAAACAATTTTCATTTTATTCACATTGAAGATGCTAAAAGAAAGTGATATTTAGAAATTCTTTGAAAAGTCAAGTAAATTTAAAGTGTAAAATTTGCTTCAAGTCTTACAAAATAAACTGTGGCAGTACTTCAACAATAACCAGCCTCATCAAAACTAAACATAAAGCATATTGGAAAGAAAATCTTTTGAAAACGACCAAGACACTTAATAAACAAAAACTTGGTAAAGAAAAAGAGACAAAAACAACTACAATTGAAAGTTGCATTATAAAAAACCAAAAAATATGGGTAAAATGATCCAAAGCAATTAAAGTTTGACTTAGATTTAACAAAATTTATTTGCAAGCTTGGTCTTCCTTTTGAAATTTTAGAAAGAGCTCAAGAATTTATCAATGAAGTAAATAGCAAATTTACTGTCAAATCTGCATCATCATTAAGACGTCAAAAACTTCCAATGTTGTATGAAAAAGTAAAGGAGGGTTTACAAATAAAATTTCTTAAAGATCTTCCAGAAGTAACTGGAGTTAGTTTTACAACAGATTTCATGGATCATTGCTTACTAAATATTACTAAATAATTTGTTTACTTGTTATTATATAAAAGTTTTTTATTTTCATCATAAACCACTATAGAATTTCTTTATTTTATTTTCTAAATTTTGCAAAGTTCGCTTTCAAAATATAGATAAATTATTTCAGATTTTTTTGTCTTTTGCTATAAATTAGTTTTGTGTTATATTTAATGTTATTAAATGATTACTATTCTTATTAAGATTTTGTTAAAATTTTTTTTTGTATTATTTAACCTTATAAAAATTTATTTAACAGCATTTCTTTGCTAAACTTGAAACAATGATTTCTACATGAATCTTAGAATTCACTACATTAATTCAGACTTTATTTTAGTAAGTTTTCTCATTGCTTGCGCACCATTAACTGGTAGACACACTGGGCTAGCATTTGCAGTACACATTGTTTTAGCTGCTAAAGAAAGTTATAAAAGTAATTCAGATTTGCGCTACAATAATCACACAATCCAGCTAGTTTTTTTTTTTGTTTTTTTTTAATTTAATTCACCTCCTCAAGGCCAAGAAGGCCACTACAGACGAGGAGGCTACTTATTTTGTGGCTATAACCCTCTCTCAACTCTATAACTCCGAAACACGAACCTTGACGAACAAGGCCGCTGCGCGGAGAAACGAGTTGAGCGCGGTACTACCAGGGACGTGGTGGGGATCGAACTCCGAACCACTCGTTTATGAAGCGAGCGCTTTACCACTACACCACTACCGCATTAAAGTTACTCTTGAAGCAATCAAAAATTCAATTGAACTTTCTAAAGCAATAAAAAACTGTACAGATTTAGCATCATGAACACATAGAGGCGTGCGTGATGCTAAATCTGTACAGTTTTTTATTGCATTAGAAAGTCTCTCTACAACCAAACTTCAAGATGTTTGTGAAGAACTTGGAATTAAGCCCAGGAAATTGGTTGTTCCATTTACAACACGATGGAATTCTGAGTACATGTGCATAAACCCAGTTCTTGAAGTCAAAGATGCAATCTAAACAGTTGCAAAAACCAATGATGAGTTTTAAAGGCTATTCCCCTCAGATGATCAATAAAAGACATTAGAATAGAGTATTTCATTTCTTGAAAAAACTTACAATATTTTAGTAACAATATTTTATTAGCCAATAAAAGACAAACAATCCAAGATGTGATACCTGAATATTCCTTGCACTAAGATCGTCTTTCCCATCAAGATCACAAACACATGCCAACAAGAATATTTATAAAAATATTGGTTTGTGAACTACAGGAAAGATATCCTTGTAATGGTGCTGAGCAGCTGATTAATTATTTTGCAAATTTTCTTTGATCCACATTACAAAGGCCATTTGATTGAAATTAAAAAATGTAATGAAATAAAAGAAGCAATATTGATTTCAGAGAAAAAGGGAAGAAAAACGAAAAAAGGTTCAATGAGTAGCAGCAAAACAGATAATGAAAGTGATGAAAATGTTAAAGTTAATCACCACGAACTGTTTAGAAAAAGACTGAAACAAGATATTCCAGCATGCAGTGCTTCAACAATGACTAAATAGGGTTTAGAAATTTATAATCATTTAGAAAATCATTTCATAATTATTTAGCCGAAACAGCTGAAGAAACGATAAATATTTTAAAGTGGTGAAAAGTTATGATGTTGCAGTACCCAACTTTTTTATCAAATTATGCATGAAATTATCTATGTAAACCAGCAAATTCTGCAACTTTTTAGATGATTTTTTTCTACTGCTTATAACGTCGTTACTGCCAGAAAAACTACATTGGCAGTTAAAAATGTTGAAAAAATTGTTTATATAGAAAAAAACATTAAAAAAATAAAAATTAATTTATAATTTTTTTTTGGTTCATGTAAAAATCTATATTTCAAAATTTATTAAATAATGCAAAACTTTGTTTTGTTTTTAAGCAAAACAAAACCAAATAGATCTTATGTTGAAAACTGAATTAAAAAGACCAAACTGAAAAAAAACTTAACTGCGTGGCCTTAAGTGCTATTGTACTTCTGTATTACTTGACTACTATCTGGTGAATACAGATTACATATCATCAATAAGCGTCAATATAGTCTAAGTCTTGGCAATTTCCATAAATTCCTAGAACACTCCTGAAAATTTTTTAAAACATCTAGAACAGTCCAGAAAACTCTAGAAATTTCCATAAAGCTCAAGAAAATTCTAGGTTTCAGAAAGTCATAATGCCACTGTCTGCAAAAACAACTTATATATCATTTAGAAAATATTGTGTTGTGGGTGACTTTTTATGAAAATTAATCATAATAAAAGCCTTTTTTATTACTTTTAAGCAAAAGTTCATTTATTTATGACACAAAAAATTAATTATTTTACAAAAAGTTAAAAAGTCATAATCCTAATATATATATATATATATATATATATATATATATATATATATATATATATATATATATATATATATATATATATATATATATATATATATATATATATATATATATATATATATATATATATACACACACATATATATATATATATATATATATAAAGTTAAAAAGTCATAATCCTAATATATATATATATATATATATATATATATATATATATATATATATATATATATAGCAATATAGTAATAAATTCTAAAAAATAAATGCTACCTCCAAAAGATCCATGAAGAAATGAATGCACAGCATTATTGCCAGACAAACTTGGAAATGTGTGAATTTGATCAGAATAATGGCCAGACAGAATAGGTAGTGCCGCCATGAAAATACCCAAGAGAACATCTTGCAAAAACAACATTGATATAAGGAGACTTGAGTAGTCCTCATCAAAACTCACAATATGATCTATGATAAGAATACAGTCTATAATATTTTTAATAAGTGGAAGTAATGTAGAGGTAGATTACACGATGTGTAGATCAAAGTCAATCTACACTAGGTTGCATGGAAAAACAACTTTTTATATATATATATATATATATATATATATATATATATATATATATATATATATATATATATATATATATATACATATATATATATATACATATATATATATATATATATATATATATATATATATATATATATATATATATATATATATATATATATATATATATATATATATATATATATATATATATATATATATATATATATGTATATTTATTTATATGAAACAAATGAAATTATATATTTTAAAAATCATTATAGGCATGATAGGTATTAGAGTTTTGATGACAGGAAGTACACTTTTTCTACAAGACAGCAGGAATACAAGATAGAACAGGTTGCACTTGATTACATGTTACCAGTAGCAGGGTAATCATAATGACCATGCGCCTGACCTGACAGTTAATACTCTTTTATATTTTATTATATTAAATTCTTTGATTGTCTTTACAGTTTTTTCAGGAGAAGAAAAAATAAAGTTTTTATATGCTATAATTTTTTTTTTTAATCATATTTAGGTAATAATTGCTCAAATCATCAGTTGATGTATGTACCGAAGCCACACAACACCAGCTGTTTGCATATGTGTGCGCACATTCCTTTTTTTCTATAAGAAACCAAGCAAATGGGCTAATACTAAAAAGTTTCTTATTTTAAGAGACATTTCTAATCTAAAAGTTTCTTAAGAGTTTCTTAACATTGCTAATATGATATATGTATTTCATTTGCAATCCAATGGAATTCAATTCCACAGCACAAGCAAATTAATTACTTATTTGAACTGTTGTTCTCTGTTGCAGATAATACTTTTTAATGTTGATGCTATATATAGGTAAAAAAAAAACAGGAAATATTCGCCAAACTCCTAATAAAAAATTTTCTTATTGAAAAGTATATTTGTATTAAAAATTTCTTAGAATTTGTACACCAAATGAAATGAAATTTCATATTTGTTTAGTAAAAAGGTCAACCTATAATTTTTGATTATTTTTTTAAATAAAAATAATTAATGAAATATATTAGTAAAAAAGTAATTTTACCTTGTAATTCCTTAATGTTTTTATATGAATCACTGCTCCACTAATAATTAAAAATCATTTATAAAATCAAAGGGTCTTTTATATCATTTATTAAACTACCCATACTGAAAATTTGAAGTAAATTTAATGTGCCCATATTGAATTTAGGTTTTCCCAAGCACACAAGGTATTGATGTGAATATACAAACTTGAAGCATTTTTACCCTGAGTTAAAGGACTATGAGGTAGTTTTATTGAATACCAATTGATACAAAATACTTATTTTCTACTTTGCTTAGAAGCTTTGTAAATTTGTACAGTTAAAAAAACACTGCTGATTAAAAAAATTTGTTGGGTTCAAAAACAACCTTTAGATTTTGATTTCAGTTCATTGCTTATTATATTTTTCATAGTATATATTTTTATAATAAATTGTTAAATAAAAGTATAGGTAAAATTTTATATGAAAAAAAATCTTTTTTTTTTCATATAAAACTCTATATCTAGCTTTACATTTGTAAAGCTATACTTTGTTTTACATTTATAACTTGTTTAATTATTTTATTTATTTTTTAAAATTTTTAATTTATTATATATAAATTTAACATTTATACACTCTAAGCTTTATTTTGATACAATTTTGTAATTACAAAAAAATTTTTTTTTGGAAAAAAACAACAACAACTGGGTCTACATTTTCATAGCATCTTCATACATAAAAAATCACGCCTTAAAAATTGCATAAATTACAAAATACTTTGTCTACAGAGATGATTTAATATTTTAGGAAAATTTAAATTAGGCATATAAATTTATGTAAACAATATTTATTTATTCTAAAACTTTAAAACTTCTCACATCCCTTATATACACACAAAAAAATAGTACTGTGTGTGTATGTAAGTCTGTGTAAGTATATATATATGTGTGCGTGTGAATATGTAAATATATTTGTAGAGATACATATAAATGATAATTCTTTTAATCTTAAATATTTATCCTTGAAAAGATCGAAGAATTAGTTCTATTTAAATGATATTTCAAACTAAGAGTTCAAATTACAAGAGATTTTAAAAATCTTATTAATTGTTGAAATAAGTGACACTGAAACATTGGCATGTGATTAAGTGGCACCAAAACATATGTGAAAATTGACATAAATGTGAAATATCATAAGTGTGAAACAGTTGCAAACACTGACATAAGTGCATACTAGCATAAGGAAAAAACTGGTTAAGAATTTGCAAAGATTGGTAAAAGCGCAAATTGGCATAATGTGAATCTTCATAAATGCAAAGCATAAATTGGAATATGTGCAAACTGGTGCACATGTGCACTGAAAGATTTTGCAAAAACTAGCATAAGTGGCCAAAAGAATTTGAAAACATTTGCATAAGAATTCACACTTGTGCCTATGATTGCAAATTTTTTGGGGCAGTTATGCCAGTTTTTGAAAATTCTTTCAGTGCACTTATGCCAGTTTTTGCAACTGCTTCACATTTATGTCAGTTTGCACTTATGTCAATTTTTGTACATTCTTTTGGAACACTTATGTCAGTGTTTGCAACAGCTTTGCACTTATGACATTTCGCACTTATGCTAATATTTGCAAATTCATTCAAATGCACTTACGCTAGTTTGCACTTATGTCAGTTTGCACTTATGATATGAGTTTTCGCAATTGCTTCTCACTTATACCAATTTTATGCTTACGCAAGTTCACACTTACACCAGTTCGCACTTATGCAAGTTTGCACTTCTGCAGATTCGCTGTTATGAAACTTGAACATAATAAGTTGCCCCATGCAAACCAAACAATTATGGACATTAAACTTTTAAAGTTAGACCAATAATATACTGAGGGAATTATAAAAATAACATATAATGTAGAAAAAATATTAATTAACTAATAAAAGCAAAAATGGAATTTTTAATCATTTAGCAAAATGTTATCAAGAAATTGTTTTAATGGAAGAAATGACTATTAATAAAAGTGAACTTAAAATTTCAAAAATTAAATTTTTAATAGTTTTTTAAAAGTTAATTTTTTTAAATAAAATTTTTGAAAAATGTATTTGCAAACAAAAAATAAAAACTTACACAAATTTTACACAAATAATCTTTATTTAGGATTAAATTAAATATATTCAATTTATTCAATAATTTACTTAATATGTTTGATGTTAAATAGCAAAGCTGAAATCTACCAACCCTTTCAGAATTTTGAAGTAATAGAAGTAATAGTAAAGTAGTAAAGCTGACCACTGACCCTTTGCAGAATTTTGTGTCCGAATCATATTAGTAACCATAGTTGTGCTAGTAAAAGATAAACACAAGGTTACAAAAATAGTCTGTTTAGGTACGATGTTAAACACAGCACCCCAAAACAACCCAATAACAGTCAAAGAGATAATTATTCCAGATATACCAAACAAAGATTGATGGATGACCTAAAAATATTTCTAAATACAAATATCCAAAAGAAGCAAAATAAAAATAACCTTTTCAATTTAAAATTTCAAATTTGATAAAGAAAATTGATTTAAACTTTTTTTAATTCCTAATGTTGATATTTTTATCATATAATTATCAGTAAAAAAATAGTGCTCTCACTTTTGAGGTATGAAAAGCAGCTCGGTAACTTTTATAGTACACAGTATAATATATAATAAAGTACAAATCTTTATTTACAATAATACTTATTTAAAATAATAATAAATATTAAAAAATAATAATAACTTCATCAAAACTATAAATAATAATAACTAAATCATAAATTATAACTAAACATAAAAATTATACCAAAATGTTCAAGGAAATTTATGATTAATTTAATAATAATAATTTTTTTTTAACATTTGCTCGACTCATGACTTAAATGCCTCATCTTAAAAGTCCACTTATTTTGAGTAACCTAATGTTTAATCTTTGATTTGAGTAACCTAATGTTTAATCTTTGATTTGAGTAACCTAATGTTTAATCTTTGATTTGAGTAACCTAATGTTTAATCTTTGATTTGAGTAACCTAATGTTTAATCTTTGATTTGAGTAACCTAATGTTTAATCTTTGATTTGAGTAACCTAATGTTTAATCTTTGATTTGAGTAACATAATGTTTAATCTTTGATTTGAGTAACCTAATGTTTAATCTTTGATTTGAGTAACATAATGTTTAATCTTTGATTTGAGTAACCTAATGTTTAATCCATGAAATCTTCATCTTATCATAGATTATCACCTGAGCTTTTATCACAGTTTATCTTTATTCACCTTATTTTAATTTACCATTTCTTACCAAATAAAAACAATGGGAATTGGAATTTTTTTTTGTATAAAACTTGCATTTTAACATTACATTCACTCATATTTACATATTTTTATTGGTTTTAATAATACAATATTTTAATACTTTTTATTCTGAAAAGGACTCTCCGAAACCAGGGTAAGAACATCCTAGTATCCAGTCTTGTTATTGGCATAAACCATTTTTATCTACTTGTAATAAGGCAATCAATATATCATTAATCTATATATTAAATTTAAAGGGTTTCTTACTTTTCTTAGCTTTTCTTGGGAAAACTCAAGCCCAATAATAAACAAAACAAAAAAAACACCAAACTCTCCTATTGTCTCAATTTGCACAGTACTCTAAAAAAAAAGTTTTTGTTTGTAAAAAAATACCCAACAGATATGGAAAAATTACAAATGGAATCAAACAATTAAAAAAAAATAGTATAACTGTTATGAATGCTGTACCAGATGGACCAAGTATAACTCCAGTCACAATGCATGCAAAGATAAAAGGAAAACGCAATAAACTACAAACTAATGTCAGCAAAAAAGTACAAACAACTAATGAAAGAATCTCTTTCAAAAGAATGTAGTCCACATGTGTAGTTGTACCATCTCTAGGCTTTGAAAGCACATAGTGATTGCTGTCAGAATCCACAAGCATAACAATACCTTCATTGTCTACAGTTAATAATAATATAAGTTGTAGTATATATTTATAACATTACATAGTTTTATGTTTTTTTATTTTATATGAAAGCAAACAATCATTAAATAAATTCTTTTATAAATTTGTTTAATTAATTAGAAATCTTTTTTGTGAAATGTGAAAAAATAAAACCACCCTAAAATTATCAGTGTACAATAAAAAGAAGTAAATAAGAAATAAAAAACAATTGAAGTAAAAAAATAAAGTAATAAAAGTAAACCATTTGAGTTTCCATCAATTTTAACGACAGTCTCAATTTCTATTTTTTTTGAGCGTATTTCTTTTCCAAATGCATTATCGTCTAGTTTCTCTTCTAAAACATCAGCAGCAACTGCCACACCGCTAATTAACTCTTTAAAGAAATGCTCCACTACGGTGTTGTACTTTTTATTGCTAAGATTTTTTTGGGCATGCAATTCCTCATTATGCGCAATATCAACAATTAAGTTAAATTCATCTTCTGCATCCAACATAGCAGACTTTAACTGTTCCAATCTACCTTTATTTATTTCTTTTAGCTCCTCAATAGATTGGTAGTTTCCTCTAAGAATTCTTTTGAAATTTTGAAGGGATTTAAAAAACGAGTCAACAGACACATTCATTTCTCTCTGAAAAAGTTTAACAACTTGAAGCTTGTGTTGTTTCTCTATAGTGTTAATACCTTTGTTTTCATTTATAATTCGAATGTTCTCAGCTAATTTTTTATCGATATTAAATTTATGTAAAAAAATTTCATCGAGTTTAAGTCTCTGGCATATGTTTTTATGATTCAGTGCTTGATTAACAGTGGTAGCAAAAAAATTTTGATTTATAAGTGAGCATAACACATATGAAAAAGTCATTAATCTATAAAACATTGTTTCAATATCTAAAAAACATAGAACAGTTTAAAAATATAATTTTGATTAGGTGACACTGTTAAAATGGTACACTTATATTGTAGTTAAAAAATAAAAAATAAAATAAATATATATATAAATATATATATTTTATTTTTTATTTTAAATATATATATATATATATATATATATATATATATATATATATATATATATATATATATTATTTTTTATTCTAAAAAATAAAATATATATATATATATATATATATATATATATATATATATATATATATATATATATATACACTTACTAAAGCGTGTTTTGATAAGCATTTGCTCACTTTTTCTGCTTACCTTAAGCCATACCGTTTTTTTTGAAAAAGAAAAAAAAAAAAGAAAAAAAAAGAATGATGAATAAAACGATTGCTGCCCCATCTCAAACCCTAAGTCGATGTAGCAGCACTCCACTGCGAGTCAGGCTATTTGTCAGTCGATGTATGTACTGAAGCCCCCAGCAGCAGGCTATTTCAGTATGACGTCAGATTGCTTACCTTAGTACGCAATACTATTTGTATATATATATATATATATATATATATATATATAATATATATATATATTTATATACAAACTTTCTTAAAAAGTGCTATGACCTAAAAATAATAGCTCTTTTAAAACTAACAAAACATACACATAATTACAAATAATTTTGAAAAATTATCCATGTGACAAACCATCTGTGTACATATGTTAATAAGCAATAATCAAGATTCAGAAAGTAAACAACCATCATATATTGAAAATAATTAATTTCAACATTAATAGCAGCTTTCCTTGCAACATCCTTTTCTAACCCTAGCTTCTAACTCTTTTGCTGTTTTGTTTTATACACAGCTTGAATTTCTTTTGTTTTATTGATTTGCTTTTGGTCCACTAAACAAAGGTTTTATTCAAACAATGAATAGAAGATTTCATATACTTGTGTGTGATGTGACACAGCACAAGACGCCCATGTCAATGGATTGCACCAAACATTTGAGTTAACACTAAAACCTTGTTGCCATGCTAACTGTGCCATGAAACAAAATCATTACAACTTTAATTAATTTAAACAACATTAATTTCTTCTTCTATTAAATCATAATAAAAAGTCATCCTTAGCATTTTAAAAATTTTCAACTCTCCGGCTTTGATGATACAAAGTTTCATAACTAAAAAAGTGATCATAGCTTGATCAGCTAGGACTGATTTTATAAGCACAGAGTACATAAAAATCAAATTTAAATGTAAGAGAATAAAAACACACTTTAGCTTTATCAGGAAATTTGATGATAATCTTCTCAAAGAATAATAATAAATAATAGCGTTTTAATAATTATAGCCTAGAATTTTCTATTTTATGGACACATATTTTATGGGCAATATTTAATTTAAAGAGTGCAACAATTTTATTTTTCTTTAAATTTTATGACTATTACTATTTTTACTTTTTTTAGCTTAAAAAAATCTACTACTAATCACTGCATCTTTTTAGCTGTCTGCATGTCTTACGTGTTTTTATCTATTCTGCAATTTATGTAACATAACAGCTTTAACAAACACTGCCTTATTAATCACTCTTTTCGTAAGATGCAACATCAGATGATATAACTCATAATTAATAAAAAAAATACTAGTGACTAATTGAAGTGAATAAATCACATAGTGATTAATTGTTTTCAATTGACAATTTCATCTAAATAAGGAACTGGTTTAGATATATGCAAAAAATCTTACAATTTTTGAGATTTTTTGTGATTTGAAAAAATTCTATTATTACATTATTAAAAAATTCTCTCTTTTTGCAACCTAGTAACCTAGTTAGATTTATTATAGTTACTAAGCTACTTAGCTTTATCAACATTTAGTGCCCAATATATGGTCCAACTGGTAAAAAAGTTAACTTTAAAGGCTAAATAAAAAATAATCATGATGACCTTTTTACCAGTTTCATTTTCTCTTCTCTGAAACCCTCCAGAGCTTACATGAACAAATGTCAACTCAAAGAAATTTAAAGTTATTTGAATAACCTTCTTCAAAGCAATCAAAAAAATTCAATGCTGGGTCCATCTGACAAAACGAATATTAACTTAGGAAATAACATTTTACTACTTAATATGTTGATACAATCTCTCAGATTATTTGCAGTTGCAAATAACCAGATAAGTGATAGCTGTATATTTTTATGTACCATTAAGTGAATACATTCCATTTCAGTGAATCCATTTAATATTGTTCTACTAATTAATTAAACATGTCATCAAACAAAACACATAAAAAGTTAAATTTCAAAATACTTTTTCCTTGTGAGATCTTGAAAATACTTGGCAATACCACAAGTCATGTTTTAGACAACTTTTATTACTCCAAGCTTAAACAAATTTGCTACATTTATTTCAGGAAACATTTTCTGAAATGCTTTACCAATATCAGTACAATACCCATAAGAACCATGAAAAAATATTACTTGGAAATCCAGTTCATTTTGGCTTTGCGATCTCATGTAGTATAGATATCAACTTTCTTCAGAACACTAAACTGATACCTCTCACTACAGATGTTTTCAAAGCACTATGATTCATGCTCTTTTAACTCACGATAGAATTTTATCCAACAAACTTCCAGGACTAAACAATGAATTTAGCAAAATTTATTAAATTCGCTGACTTTTCCCTACCTTTATCACACAATTTCAAATTTTACTGACATTTCTAGGTTTTCCAGGTTGCTAAACACCCTGGTTGCTGAACACCCTGGTTGCTAAACACCCTGGTTGCTGAACACCCTGGTTGCTAAACACCCTGGTTGCTGAACACCCTGGTTACTGAAAACTACTACTTTAATATGAGTAGTTGTAAATAAATTATTTTACTTTTACTTTATTAAATAACTATTTTTTGAATTAATAAAATGAATTGAAAGACTGAAATACTTCAATGCTTTCATGGTTAGAGTTCATGGTTTCATGGTTCATGGTTCCATGGTTAGAGTTCACGGTTAAGAATTTTGTTGTTATCATAAAATCTTAGTAATTAATTTAATATAAAACATTTTTTTAAACTATTTTTTAAACAAAGTAAGTAAAATGATGATTAACACAAATAATAATTTCCTCTTTTAAGACAATTTTAAATAAATTGAAAAAAATATTAACTTGAAATGTAATATAAATATTGATGGAAATAACTTTTTTTAAGAAGAAATAACTTTTTTTTCTTAAAGAAAAACACACCTTAAAAACTTGTTTAAATATAGATAATGATAATATTTATTATAAATAATATTTATTGTAAATAATATTTATTATAAATAATATTTATTATAAATAATAAAAAAAAACCTTGAATAATAAATTGCAAAAGCTTAAAAACTTTTTTCTAAATAAATATGTAGTAGTACATATCAACAGCTTAATCGCAAAAAAATGCAATAAAGTGGAGTTTACAAAAAAAAAGTGGAGTTATCTTGTTTGCGGATTAAGCCATCAATATAATAATTGAGACCAAACTAGTAGTAATCAATAGTATTTGCTTAATATGATCAAACTCAAAGAGATCAAACTCAACTATATCCTCTGTAGTACCAGACTAAATTTGTTACACATGGGTTCACGAAGGATGTTGTTAAACAAATTTAGCAACATCTGCTGTTTAACATGTTGTACACACAAAAAAAAAAAAACAAAAAAAAAACTTCACTACCTAAAAAAAATAAATAAAAATAAATAAAAATAACTTCACTACCTCATTCACTGATATTTTCTTGATATTGGGTAAATGAACTTGTAAAAAATTTATATATTGGGTAGATGGATTTGTAAGAAATTTATATATATAACACTTTGTTTATATTATTATAGTTATAATTAAAATGCAATTCCAAACAAAATTATAAAAAATAGATATAAGATTACAAATTAAAACACAAATATATATACAGCTTGCCAAAAATCCAAAGAATAAGTCAATATCAGTGCAAAAGTACTTTTTCTAGTTGTCAGCCTTTATGGTTTGATATGTTAAACTTATTAATCTGTCGTTAGTATTTATATATCACATTGGATGTCATCCTGCCACCATTTTATATTGCTCTTGACACAATGATGGTTAGATAGGATAATATTTTGGAATTACTGAAAACAATCCTTCACTAATTAAATGTATGTATATTAAAAAATGTGTATACGCCTATATTATTACTTCCCCAAAAAAATCCCTTTCCCTGTTATAAATATGAAAATAATTGCTTGTAATAACCTTAAAATTTTCAGGGTTTTTTTTCTAAAAAATCTTGAAAGGTTTAAAGGAAAAAATAAAAAAACAAATCTAAAATAAAATAATAAAAAAAAAAATAAAACAATTAACAAACCTTTTAAATATTTTAAATAATTAAAAAATCCACCAAAAAATTTACAAAAAATTGTAACAATTATTGGTAATATGTGCATAAACAAACAAAGCATAACAAAAGATGACTGTTGTCAAATTCTAATGTTACAAACTGTTCCATTTGTCTTATAAAATATTAACTTCTTGTAATTCAAGATCATTATCAACTGATTTCAACTCAAGCATTGATGCATGAAGAATAATAATGAAAGCTGATGCACCTTTGATAGAATAAGGAATTTCAATTATTTTATATAAATGTAAAATAGAGAATTAGAAAAATATAAATCATGTTTAAAATAATAACTTGTAAAAACTTAAAAAAATGTACCTATTATCCAAAACACAGTCGATCCAGCTGATGCCAAAAAAAAGAGTGGAAGAGAAATCAAAAATACCAATCCATACTGTTCAGCAATTGTTAAATCACGACCTTATAAAAATATAACAACATTTTGAAGCAACTTTTTACTAAAAAAAAAAATTTTTTACTTTATTAACAAAACAAAGTTGTGGCAGTGTTTATGAAGATTTAAAATTAGAAAAATCGTATTTTCTAATTTAAAAAATCATAACCTTGATCAACTTCCCTTTTGATTATTAGGTTTTTGATTTTGTTTAAAACTTGATTTTCAAAAGTTTTTGAAAATCAAGTTTAAACAAAAATTATTCTTGAGTTTCAAGAATTTAAGTAAAAAATCAGTTAACATTTTCTAAGAATATTTATAAACAATAGCTTGCAAAAAAATGCAAAAATCTAAAACTACAATATATCGGTATTTATATGGCAATAGGTTGTAACAAAAATAAAAAATTCAATAAAATTTATCAAAGAAATTAATAAAAAATCAATCAAATTTTTTTCATAAATTATTATTGTTATTACAAGGTGGCCAACAGATTTTTATTTTCCCTGACTTTTTTCTATTTAGAACGACTTAAATTTTGTAAAATGTGAAACTTTTCATACAAAAGAAAAATACAAATTTAGCTTAACAAATGCAGCAAAAAAAAAAAAAAACACTTACCTAACTCCCTCCCCCCCCCCCCCATCCTGCAAAAAAACAAACAGTTTTTTTAATGCTTCTTTGACAATGCCAAGTTAGCAAGTTAGCATGAATACTGGCTCATACTTTACCTGATTTTAGTTTTTACTCATTCACATGATAGATTACTTAATTTATTTCATAGATTACAAGACTTACCTGTTTTTTGATTTTTTCATTTACTTGGCAAATTACATCATTTGCATTAATAATAAATGTCTAGTAGCCTTTTATGTTAGGACATCAGAATAAGAGAATACAGCAACTAAATAACTTAATAACTGAAAAATTAAGTGTCTTGACAACTATCATTTCTGTAATTCTAAGACAAATACAATGTTTCATCTTTTGTGAACAGTTCTATTTGAATGTTTGATTGCCTTTACACAACCATTAGAGACTTTCATGAGCCAAAGTGTTTTATTTAACCAGCCCTCGCTAAAGTTTATGTAAGATTGTTTTGTCATTATTTTTTTTTAATCAACCAAAATTTTATCAATTCTCTGACTTTTTGATACAATTTAATATTACCATGATTTGCCACCTAGGAACCAAGAGAAGTAAAAGTAGTTTCCCTCCTCCCCTCTCCAATTTTATACCTGTTATATTAATTCAACCTAAACTTTATTATTAGGTTATTTTATATCTCACCAAGCAACTTAATTGACTTTCCTTGACCCCGTGTTGAGATATAGTAGCAGCCTCCAAACGACATCACCAAACCAAAAAGCAACAGAGGAGATGTTAAACTAAAATTATTATAAAAATTGTTAAATTTTCTAATTATTATAATTTATATAAAATATATAAATATAAAACATTATAATTTATACTTTTATTTGCTTACTTTTATGTTATATTATAATATCTAGCATTTTCATTATAATAATAATAAATTTTTAATATTTAACATATCTTTCCTGATTAAGTATAAAAAATGAAATAGTGACAGGACTAGTTGGTCCAACTTTTTTATTTGACTAACTAGCATACTTTTAGGGTCAAAGCATTATTTGATGATTTTTGTTAAAGCTGATAAATGTAAAAGATTTATAAATTTTAGAAATTATATTAATACAGGTGAAGCTCATTAGCTGTGATAAAGACACAGGTAAGGTACTCTTTGTAAAAGCAAGATACCTAGGAACAGTTTTCTTTTAATTGTAACTTGCCTTTACAAAGGTAAAGATTGTTGGTAAGGGCAGAACCTCAACCACCTTGGATAGTAACCTGCCTAGTAGAAATACCCCAATGAAAATATTCAACCTGCAAAACCTGCTAGGCTGTAAAAGAATTTGAAAAAAAGAATTTGGTGCTCCAACCATGACCTAGGGAGAAAAGATTTGAAAAATTTAAAAATTTTTATTTTTTTTAAACATCTTCACTTGCAATAAGGCTGCAAGCAACCACTATTAGAGTTAGAAATACCTGGAAGAGAAAAGATTATAAAGCAATATAAGGATTAACAGACAACTTAAAAGATTGAAAATTATATGAATCAGGCAAACAAGATGAATGGAGCGAATTCTAAAGAACTGATGTTCGAGGATAAAAAGTTAGACAAATAAGAATTTTTGGAGCATTTACGAACAGTCACAGCAAAAGGATGAGACTTAATTGAATGATGAGTAACACAAAAATGAATTTGAGCAATGCCCATTAAAGTATTTATGGAAAAGAGAAAAAGAAGCAGTATCATGACAATGTGAAGAATGGTTGAGGTTGGTTTCAAGAGCAGGTCTAACTATGTTTAAAGTACGTTTTTGCACCTTGTCTAAAAGCGAAAGGGCATCATTCGAAGATCTGCCCAAAATATATGGTAAAAGAATTCGATACAAGGAAAGAATAGAGATATAAAGACATAAAGATTAGAATCGGGAGTAGCAAAATGGTGAGCACAATAAAGAGATGCAACCTTAGCAGATGCTAATTTTTCAATGGATTTGATATATGGTTTCCAAGAAAGATTGGAAGTAAAAGTTGATCCTAGAAGACGAAGGGTAGATGACTCATCAAGTACATTATCGTTCATGAATATAGGATGATCTAGATTGTTGGGATAATGATTAGCTGAAAAAATTGAACTTTATCTGAGTTAAAGTTTGCCAGCCATTGGGAGTCCCATGCTGTAGCAGAAGTGAGATCCTTTTTGAGCTCAATGTCCCTGTTAATCTCTCCACATCTATCTAGGGCATGATAAAACCTGATCAGTTTTTACCGTTAACAAATCAGCAGTAGAACAAAAAGATCGAAATCCATGATGAAGGTTTCCAATCCACCATCATGGATTTCAATTATGGATTTTAAATATTTGCTAATTAAAGATTCAAAAACCTTGCTTATGAAAAGAAGACTAATCTGACTTATCTAACGTAGTTAGATAAGTCAGATTAGATAAGTCACTCTCAAGTCAAGTTAGATAAGTCACTCTCCAGACTTATTGAAAATTGGGATAACAAATGCTGCTTTACAGCAGGCTTGAAAACAAGACTGATAAGTACTTGTTAAATAGTTTTGAAAGTAATTACTTCTGCAAGATTAAAATTGGTAGTTTGCCTGGACCATAAGCTGTAGAAGAGTCTAAGTAAGAAATGACTTAAGATGCAGAACCTGGAGTGATACAAATGTTAAGCAATGGATCAACCTGTTTGTAGGCTATATCCGGTAGAATGTGATTAGTGGAATCAACAGATGAGATTGATGAAAATTTCTTTCCAAACAATTCAGCTTTGTTTTCAGGCGAGGTAATAATTTCTGAACCATGCAAGAGAGGTGGAATAACAGATTTGACCTTACTGTAGACAAAGATTCTCCAGAAGTCTCTAGAGCCTAATTTTTGAATAATAAAAAGAGAGGGCTTGGTCAGTTTAATCAGCAATAACATAGAAAAGAGTGCAGTCATAAGATGAAGGAGAGCAATTTAGAACAAAAAAAAAGGCGATAGAGTGAAGTGGTGCTAAATGAAAACACATAAAAGAATAGTCTGTGGGTTTAAATCTAGTTTTTAAACAAATGGATGAATTTTTACGAATGTAAATGCCTAGGCCAAGCATGTGACTATTGAAGTCTTTACGAATTAAAGGAAGATAACCATCAACACTAAGATTGCAAGATGAGGCAGATAAACTCAAATTAGTCTCACAAAGAGCAAGTAGGTCTGGTGAATTTTGCAGGAGAAAAGACTCGACAGTAGAAAAGTTACTTCAAAGACCACAAATATAAGAGAATGATAGATTTAGAGAACTTGGCGATGACCATGGTTTTTTGTGTTTTGTAGTTTTGAATACTTTAGTCAATTTTTAAACTAGTTAAAGAACTTGACTCAAATCACAAATAGTATTTAGTACACTAATAACAGTCTGAGTAAACGCCTCATTACTACAAACAAACCCTAAGCCGTAGCAAAGGGCTCCAAATGTGGCCTCAAAAATACACACCAAAAGAACAAACAGGGACACCATCCACGCGCAACATGGCAATGTTAGTCCTCTGATATTTTACAGCTGTTGATGGAGTTAGCCTCTCTGAGAGCTACCACAAAGTTTGGGAAACCTACCTCCTCTGAACCATACAACTGAGTTTTAGAGGTGTACCCTCATTAGGAGATAATAGAATATAGAGTTGTCTTGTCATAAAAACAGAGATGTAAGCAAAACCCATGCAATGAGTCAAGAAGATCCAGCATTCAACATCCTAATCTGGAAAAAATGAATAATGTTGTAAGAGATGAAAGCAGGTGTTCCTGTACGAAAAGACTTCTCCAAGTTCTTGCTGTGATGAACAGCAGCCATTGAGCAAACATGCTTCTATAATTTCCCTTCATTTACAACATTAGACTTGTCAAGTGGTCTAAATTTTTTGTACGCATTATCAACTAGTTAACGCATCAAACACCGCAAGACTTGCTGACATGTAGGCCAACATTGACTAGTAATTGTGAACCATTCTGCTTGCGCAGACAACCAGTAATTTTGCAAAATTTTTTAATATTTAGATAAAAACTATTGGAGAAAACAAAATGATAATGATAACTTATTAAGTCTTAGTAACACTTTTGTTAGTTACACCGTAATGTTTTAAAGCATTTCATAATTTATTCTGTTATGACTATTTCCAATTGAATGTAAAAAGGGACTTTTCTTTACAATGAATATTAGCATTTATTAGGGCTATATATAGACAATGAGTATTAGCATTTATTAGCAATTTTTAGGGCTAAGAAACCTAAAGAACTTATCTAAGTTAAAAAAAAGAATTCTTTTCTTTTGATAGACACTGATTCATAGCTCAGGTAAATTTAACTTTTGAACAAACTTGATTTTGATTTTTAAATCTACTTTACATAACTTGTCATATTATTATAACAATTAAATTGCATTTTCCAAATTTTTTAAAACTTTTTCTAAATTTAATTTATTCAAATGAGTTTAAATTACTATATAATAAATTACTTTACTTAAAATGAGTGATTTTTATTTTGAAATAACATCCAAATCGGTAGCATAACATCAAGATGCACCATTTTTTTTTTTAAATATTTTAATTCAATTCCAACAAGCTTTGCTCCCATCAAGCAATCACTATTAAGATGAGAGTTACTAAGAAAAAAAGAAGTTATAGAGAAAGGAAATGGTTGACAGAAAACTTGAAAAGTTGTAGATTGTATACGCCAGGAAAACATGAAGATAGGAGAGAGTTTCAAAGAGTTGAAGTGCAGGAAAAAAAACTATACAAATAAAAGTTTTTTGAGTATGCAGGGACAGATACAGTAAAAAATGAGATGCAGTAAACAATGAGACTAAATAACGAGTCAAACAAGAATGAGTTTTAATCAATGGAACTAGAGATGGTAACTTCTTTGAGCAGTGATCATTTGCAAAAAAAGAGAATGAGATGCATCTCTATGATAATAGGAAAGAGGCTGAACCTTAGCAAATAGAGTGGGTCCAACTACATTTACAATGCATTTTTGGACCTTGTCTAAGAGAGAAAGAGTATCATAGAAAGAACCAGCCCAAATATAACAACAGTATTCCATACAGGGACAAATAGGAGATTTGTAGAGGTAGAGAATGGAACCAAGAGTAAGAAAATAGCAAGCACAATAAAGAGAAACAACCTTAGCAAATGCTAATTTAGCAATCAATTGTATATATGGTTTCCATGAAGGTCAGTAGTAAAGAAGAGGTAACTCATTATGAGGGTTTCCATGAATTAATATAGGAATGTTGACCATATTGCGATAGTTGTTTGCAGTAAATAACTGAGTTTTGTTGGAGTTAAAATTTACAAGCTTCAATCTGCTACAGAAGCGAGACTGTGAGCTCTAATCTGCTACAGAAGCAAGATTAGGTTCGAGATTGGCTGCCTGTTATAAGCGATAGAAAAGAGAAGACTTTTTGTCAAGACAGGAGTATTAAAGGGATCCCAAAGCGCAGAGACAAGTTGTGTTTGTATTAAAGAGAATGATAAAAAAAAATGTTTCGGCAGATTTTTTTTGAGTAAAACAAAATAATAAATGTATATCAAGAAAAACTAACTTTGTTGTTTTACTCGAAGCTCGCTCTCTCCATATTAGCCTGTTCCTTTCAGTCTTTAAAACACAGACTTTAAAATTTATTCAAACACGTTTAATTCTAAAGAGTTTTAGTATATGACATCATTGTAGATTTCAATAAGAAATCTAAAAATCATTACTGTAGAATTACTTTAGTTAATTTATTTTCTCAATTTTGCGAAGTTCGTATTA